CTCGACCTTGACTGCAACATTTCGGTGAACGACTGGAACACCTCCCTCATGAATCGAGGGTCCCTGTCATGCCTGATGAGGGAAGGTGCACCGAACCTCCGGTACACGCACTCTTCAAAAGCTTGAGCTACTCTCAGAGCAGTCGTGTCTGCCATAGCCTTGCCCATCACATATCCCGTGAATGCGCATTGGAATAGTAAGAGCACTGTGTTACCTCGCCGAGACTTCGGTAGGGGTATTACAAAATCCATCGAAACAACCTGAAACGGTCGCTCCGCTAGTATGTTCCCCGGAGAGTATCCACGGATCCTCGGTCGGCTTTTGCTTGACAGTCGGGACAGGACCGCACGTGTCTCGCCACGTCTGCGTATAGACCGGTCCAGTAATAGTCCAACTTCACTCTGTAGAAGGTCCGAGCGATCCCTTGATGGCCTCCTTCTAATGAGTCGTGGCAGTTCTGTAGTACTTCTTGAATCATCGTTGAGGGTACTACTAGGCGCAGCATCGCGTCCTCTTGCTGTTGGTCACCTCTCAGAGGCCTCGTTCCCACATAGTAAAGCGCATCGTCCTCACTTAGGACGAAGTGATCGCACATTTTCCACGCGTCTCTCGCTGCACGGTACGTTAGGGTTGATTCTCCCCCGCGGAGAACTGTCTTCAAATCCCGTAACTCCTCGTCCTGAGCAGTCGCGATCCTTCTTCGACGTTCTCTTTGGACCGTTAGGGGGTCCACGTCCTCCGCGTCAGGCAACGTGGGAGTCGTACCGTTGGGTGCCGTTACTCTTGATAACTCTGTTTCTAGACGGACCGAGTCCTCTGTCGGCACACCGTTGGCTTCCTCTCGCTGCGTCGCGTCTTCTTCACCTGTCACCGAGGTTTCATCGGCGAATCTGACGCGTTTAGGCTTCGTCTTAGCTTGGAGTCTGGTCGTTACCATTAGGTCCCCTATGTTCGAAGAAAGTTTTTCGACGCGGCTCCAGGACGGTTCCATGTGTCGCAAATGTCGCGTCTGAACTTGTGCTTGTGC